AGGGAGTGGGAGAGGGAGGGCGGGCTGGAGGGGAATGTGGAAGGTAGGAAAGTACTACCACGGGACAAATAGTCATTATAGGCAAGAATTTAGTTAGGCAATTTGGATGCCCTTGGATCAAAGAAAAGCCATGTTCAATTTAAACTTGAATCAGAATTTGTACGCTCCAGACACAATAGAGGCTGGTCAGTCACAATGAGAAAACACACTGTCTCTTAGTAGTTTGACCAGTACTCAAAGAAATGAATCTGATACACAAAGATTTATGTGAATTCAACCTATACTGGTAGGACAAGAATTTCACTCTGGCCTTGGAATTTAAAGGAACTTTTAAATCTCACCTCCATAGCACTCTCAAATGCATGGATTATAATTTTGTTTACTCATATGGAGAAAACCAAGGACCAGGAAAGAAAGAAAATTCCAAGTAGCTGTTTTTTGTTTGCTTGTTCTAAAAATTTGCATAACTTGGGAAATAAAAGGAGATTTAAGTGGGCTAGAAGAAGCAATAACAAGATAACTAAATGGTACAAAATGCTTAATCCAAAAGTATAATTTAAAAGATACTGGATTTCCCCCACTATTGGAGCTTTTCCTAACCATGTAGCATTTCAGAAAAAGAGCTTTTTCCTGGTACGATATAGTTTCCCTCTGCAGCCCCTTCCTCCACCAGCAGCAGCAGGTCAGTGTAAGTGCTACTGAGCAAGCGACACAAAACTAAAGGGGCTGAACGTGGAGAAGAGTGAGCCAAGGAACAAAAGCCATTGGTCCCCCTGGGAGGTGGCTGGTTTTGATGCCCCAGGCCAATGTCTGCATTTACTCAACAGCCACCAAGAAAGCCACCTGCACCTCTGAAAACCCTACCTCCCGGCTCAACTCTGAGATTGCCACCCCTGCCACAGGGCCTTCTTCCAGCCAGGCATTTCCTGCCTCCCATTTCATGTTCCCAGACCATTTATGCACATCAGTGGTTTTTTGTTTTCTGGGTATAGTATTCGGTGAGGGTACAAGATCCTTTTATAGTTTGTTTTTTATAATTTGTGATATTTCAACCTTACCTTCACTGTCAGACAATTTCTCCTAATGAGATTTCTGAGGAGCCCGGAAACCCTTTCTCTGCACCCCTGCACAAAAGCAGCCTTCTATTTGTATGGATGTCAGCTTACCACACCCAGTCTGGAATCGCCAGTCTCCAATTGGAATGCCAAGGGCTTGGCACACAAGGGCATAGGCCTGGATGGCTTGACAGAGGAGTGTCCCATTGTCCCTCACGCTGCATAGATCATATACACAGCTGTGAACAAAGGCCGTGGGGTCCACGACAGTGCCACACTCCCACAGGGGGCCGTCCGTCTTATTGAGGAAGCCACAGTAGTCGGAGCCAAAGTAGAGGGCCTCGGTGGCAGCATCGCATTGGGTGCAGTTGTCAACACAGCCTGAGTCACACTTCCACTCCGTGTGGTAGACCCGCCAGCTCTCTCCTAGATCCAAGACTGACATGGCTGGCCTGCCATCTGGGCGGAGGAAATCATCCAGTGGGTTTTTATTGTAGTTCCCACAGAGCCCACACGTGGAGTTTATATAGGAGCCTGGGATGGAAATGGAGGCGTAGTGCTGGCCATCAAACGTCACTAAGAGCCCAAAATCTGTTTCCACGGCAGTTGACATGCCACTTTGGTAGACTTTCACTGCCCCCAAGTCTAAGGTGACAGGCAAAGAAGTCACTAGATCATTAACCTGCCAACAACAATAATAGTAGAAGGCAGGTGAGCAAGTGCTAGGGCAATGGTTCCAGCCAATGTCAGAAAAGGGAGGCAAAGCAGTTCAGTGCTCCAGAGAGAACAGATCCCCCAAACTGCCTAGGCTCCAGTCGGCTTGCCCAGGGAACCCTCAAGGTCAGGCTGGTGTGGGCCATCTGAGCACTGTGTTTCATTTAAGCTGTGACTGATGTGCATTCCTAGGGCCACTCTGGACCCTCCGGGGACCAAGTGATTGTCAACTTTCCTGCTGGCTTCAGGGCCAGTTCAAGCCTCTTCTTGAAAGACTGGTTACCGTGTTTTTCCTCTTTATTCCTCTAAACCATTCTTTAAATGTCAGCTTAGTCACTTGTCCACTCCACCCTTAATGCACTTAGCACTCCCTGATCCCTCCTCCCAGCTGAAATGTGCACTGAGAACTGTTCCACAGTTTAGCATTGAGACTGCCCTAGTATTATCTCCAAGAGTTTCACCCTCACTTCCTGACATCAGGATCATGTGACGAAATCATTCGACAGCAGCAAATTTGAACACTTACTGGTACCAAGCACTACATTAGGTGTTGAGAAATAAGGAATAAAAATAAATAGTTGGCCCTGCCTCTCATGAGCCCTCAGTCTACTGAGGAAGAGGGCCACAAATGATATTTATAATATACTGTTTGAAGTATGTGTTAATAAGTGATGCAATGAACACTTAATCCAGCCTGGGGAAGTCATCTAAAGCTTTTTAGAGGGAATTAAGTCTGACCTGGGTCTTTAAAGACAAACAGAAGTGGACAAAAGAAGAGTGGGGAGTAAGGGGTTCCAGGACAAAAGAATAAAGGCCGGGTGGGATGGTCGTAGGGTGTTACTGAACTGTAGAGAGAAGGGGTAGTCAGAGATGAAGCTGGAGACAGGGGCGAGGTCCATTCATTCAACAAATACCAATTCAGCCTTTTCTGTATACTAAGGACTTATCTAAGAGCCGGGGATTAGCAACAAGTGACAATGCCCGCATCGTAGAACTTATATTTTAGTTGAGGAGATCAATAACAAAATAAATAGGTAAAATATATAAGTATGCCAGAAAAATGTTTTACAGATAAATAAAGCAAAGAATGTGAATCAAAAGTACTAGGAAAGAGGGTTTCTAATTTCAAGTAGGATAGTCAGGGAAGACTTCATTGGGAAGGGGACATTTGAGATGAGGAAGCAAACTATGCTATCATCTGGGAGGAAAGTGGCTCATGAAGGGTGACCAGCCAGGCCTTGAGGTGGAGTGTGCCAGGGAACTCCCGGGACCTCCAGACGCCAATGTGGCTGGAGCAGAGAGCGCAAGGCAGTGCTCATGATATCAGAGAGATAAGAGCAGCCCAAATGGGCAGAACCGTTCATCCATTGTGAAGACTTTGGCTTTGACTGACTTCCATTTCTAGAAAATTGCTTGGGCTTCTGTGTTGGAAACAGGCCTTGAAGTACCTTTAAAACTGTGTTTTAAAACAAAACAAAACAAAATCCCACAAAAACAAAACCCCCAAAACTTGGACTTCTCTTCTGTAGGGAGAGCCCCAAAAGGTTTTAAAAAAAGGAATGACATAGATTTGTAGTTTAGAAAGTCCATTCTGGGCAGCATGAAGGACTCAGTGAAGTAAGTCAAAATCGGAAGCAGAGAAAGCAGACGGGCGACTGCTGCTAGAATCCAGGAGTGATGGAGAATGAGGGCCTAAACTGCATAATGACATGGAGAGCGGGGGACAGACTCATGGGGTACCCTCAGCAGGGCCTGGTGGGTATTTGCAGCGGGGAGTGAGAAAGGGGGGAGAATCAAGAATGAGACCCAAAGGTCTGGCTCACTTGAGTAGGTAGCTTGATAAGCCTCCAACAGAGAGAGTTAATTTTCTTCTTTTTCACACTTAACATGCCTGGCACCTATAGACATCACACTCGTGGGCTGGGATAGAATGTTTAGTCCTTGGTGGAACTGACTGTAAGTGCACATATGCTTTCCAAGCTGGAACCATACTGATTTCTGGCACACAAAAAAGGCAAGGGTCTTTGATGCCATCATTGTTGCTACTTTCTGAATTGTCTAGGAGTGAGACAATAGACTGTCCAAGCATCACTCCCAACATTTACTGTGACAGATACCATGTGCAATTTTCTGTCTCTAGAGATTAGTAAGACTTAAGGGGGAAAACAGACAAGAAAAATATGCTTAAGAAAAAAGTTGTTCAAATGGGCAGCAGACCTGAATAGACACTTCTCCAAAGAGGACATACATATGGCCAAGAGAAATATGAAAAAAATGCTCAACATCACTAATCATCAGAAAGATGCAAACTGAAACTACAAGAGGTACCACCTCACACCTGTCAGAATGTCTACCATCAATACATCAACAAATGACCTGTGCTGGAGAGGGTGTGGAGAAAGGGGAACCCTGGTATACTGCTGGTAGGAATGCAGACTGGTGCAGCCACTATGGAACACAGTGTAGAGACTCCTCAAAAAATTAAATATAGAACTGCCATTTGACCCAGTGATCCCACTTCTAGGAATATATCCTAAGAATCCTGAAACACCAACCAGAAAGAATATATGCACCTCTATGCTCATAGCAGAGTTATTTACAATAGCTAAGATCTGGAAATAGCCCAAGTGCCCATCAGTAAATGAGTGGGTTAAAAAATTGCGGTTCATTTACACCATGGCCATAAAAAGAAGAAAATTTTAGCTTTTGCGACAGTATGGATGGACCTGGAGAGTATTATGCTAAGTGAAATAAGACAGTCAGAGAAAGACAAATATCACATGATCTCACTTCTATGTAGAATCTAATGAACAAAATAAAAGGAGGAATAAAATAGAACCAGACACATGGAAACATGGAACAGACTGATGAATCTCAGAGGTAAGGAGGTGGAGGGGGTGGGAAGAGATTAGCCAAAGACTTTATGAGCATATATGCATTGCCCATGGACACAGACAATATAGTGGTGAAGGCCTGGGATGGGGTGGAAACTGGGTAGAGGGGAGCAATGGGGGGGGGGACATCTGTAATACTATCAACAATAAAGATTTAAAAAAGAAGAAAAGAATGAAATAAGTTGTCCAGAGATGGAAGATGTTGGCAGAGCAGGTGGAAGCTACACTCACCTCCTCCCAGAATGAAACTGGAATTATAAGTAAAATATAGAGCAAGCATAGAAAATAACCAACTGAAGACAGCTGAACCGAAGTCTTATTACCAAGAATGTACTAAAGAAGCCATATGGAGACTTTTAGGAAGGGTGGCAACACATAAAGGGCTGGCCCCACTCCCACAGGAGGCAGCTAGATTCCAGAGGGATGCCTGGGCCTTAGCTGAAAAGGTCCCCCCTGAGGAGCATGGGGTCTCAAACCCACACTGGGCTCCCCATCCCAGAGCACCAGAGCCAGGAAGAGGTGTCCACATAACATTTGGCTGTGAAAAATCAACAGGGGTTCTGTCTGCAAAGGAGAGATGGGAGTCTGCTAGAGACATAGGCAACACTCTTAAAGGGCCAATGAAAAAAATCTCATTGGTAGCCACTCACCTTTGGCTCCGGAGGAGGGAGAGTGGAGCAAATTAGAGTCTTATGAGGAGAGAGTGGGGGTTGTGGCTATGGGGAGAGAGCTGAAGGGACAGCTGCCAGGATCCTTGTACTGAGTCCCTCTCCCACACCACAGACACCATCTTCCTTGAGTGGAGCATTCCCCTCCACATGGCATCAGCCTAGGGGAATGCAATAACCCCACTGTCTGGAATTCCTGTCACTCTACCCAGAAGAGTTTACCCTGCTGAGGAGTCAGCTGCCTGAGCCAAGGTGAAGAGGTCTAGGCAGACTCAGGGGGTGTCAGTGACTGAGTAGTGTGGCTCTGGGGTGGTGGACTTTCCTTCCACTTTCCCATGAAACTGACCAGCACCTCCCCATCATGGGAGATCTGCTAGCCCCACCACCTGGGCTCTTGGTGGCCCCACCCTCCCTACTCCTGGTCATTCCACCCTGCTGAGCATGGATTCCCCAGGAGGTCTGTGCAAAATCCAAGACAGACTGAGTTGTGTGGCTCTGGGGCAGGAGTAACTTCCCTACCTTTCCCCAAGCCTGATCTGTGCCTCACCTTCTTGGGAGAGCCACTAACCCCACCCTCACAACTGCTAGCTGTGCTACCCTACCAAGCTAGGGCTCCCAGGAGAATCTGGGACAGACAAATTATGCGGCTCTATGATGGAGGTCATCATATTTCCCTTCCATGCCTGACTGATGCAGAGCTTCCTTTCACACAGCCAAATCTTGGTCTGTTTGGGCCTGATAAACTCTGTTGACATCACCCTGATGACTCCCTGAGACCCTTCCCCAGCACAAAGGTCTGTGGGCACATGGGGGGTAGCAGCTGGACTTGCTGTACCCTGGGACTTTTGCTTAGTGGCCTCAGACCAAGCACTAACACTGAGTTTGAACCTGTATCAATTTGATGAACATGACTCTCCCCTACCTCATGACTCACTGAGAACCTACCTTATGCCACTTGAATACCACCAGAAGCTCTTTCAGTGACTAAGCCAGACAGCCAACAAGTGAAGGCAGATCTCAGGGTGCCTTGGTACTTCTGCTTACCTGCCCATGTGCTTGGTGCTGGTGAAGCCCAATCTTGATGTGCAGCTTGGTCAATCCCGCACACACCAAGGCCCAACACAGGTAGACACAAAGTGTGAATAGCTTTGTAGCTCCAAACAGGTTTCCCAGGTCCAGTCATAGGCAGTGAGCGTACCAGAGTCCCTCCCAAAGGAGCCAGAACAGACACACCCAGTGGCCAGCTTCAGACAACATCAGAGTAGAATCCAATTAGTTTCACAAGTGGAATATCCAAAGGGAGATTTTGATAGTCATCAGACCCTGCTGAGGCTAATTCCACTTCATGTAGTCAGCACCTGCAAAACAGCTCCTACACTGTGGTTGGGGTCAATACTCACAGTCAG